CTTCTTATTTAGTATTTAATTGTATCTCAGGCACCCGCAGCACCCCGGCTGGATCACCAAGTGGGTTCCCAGTCCTGTACTGGCCGCACACTTGGCCTTTACACTGGCGCAGGGAGCCTCAGCCACTCGCCCGCCACCTCTGGAGTCCTCACCTGCTACAGCCCAGCACCTAGTTACCCTGCCCACAGGAGAAAGGACTTGGACAAGACCCTTCAGGAAGAAAATACTGCTGCTGCTGCTGCTGCTGCTGCTGCTACTAATCTATTTGTTATACTAGCAAAAAGAGAAATAAGTACTGGTATATTCCCACAAGAGAGAGTACATGCCAGTGATTCAAGTGAACGAGCTGGATCCTATAGCAACCTGGATAAATCTACAACCTTCTGAGTATAGAAATGCACACTGTAAAACTGATGCAGACTAGTATGCAAATTGGAAAACTTTGTTTATGAATATGCATACACACATGCATGCAGTGCATTTGTATAGGCCAACATAAAAATGACACGCAGATCTGGGAACAGGAAGGAGGAGGGAGCAAAGGAAAGCTGTAGCTGAATCTCTTTTATATTTTAAAAAGAAACATCCAAGCTGGGCAGTGTGCACCTATAGTCCCAGCCACCGGAGAGGGTGAAGCAGGAGGATCACCTGAGCCCAGAATTTCTTAGCTAGCCTGGGCAATAGTTTTTTTGGAGATCCCATCTCAGAAGCCAAAACCAAATAAATACACAAATATATATTTATCTTACAGGTAAAATAGATATTTAAAAAAAAGATAGACCAGGCATGGTGGTACATGTCTGTAATCCTAGCTACAATCCTCAGCCTTGGGAGGCTGAGGCAGGAGGATCACAAATTCGAGGCTATTTAGTGAGATCTTGTATCAAAATAAAATGAAAAGGCCGGGGATGTAACACCGTTGTAAAGTGTGTGCCTAGTGAAGATTACACCCTCAGTTCAATCTCCAATATCAATAATGTTTTTAAAAAGAAAAGGCGATCAAAGATAACAATTGAGGGTGACCAAACCATTTAATTAATGGGCATTTCAAAAAAGTACCAGACAGAAATTTCTAAACTGAATGGGTACGGTGGCACATGCCTATAATCCCAACATGCTGGGAAGCTGTGGCAGGAGGATTACAAATTCAAGCTCAGCCTGCCAATTTACTGACTTAGCAAGACTTGCTCTCAATTTTTTTTTATTGTGTTTTTTTTTGTTTGTTTGTTTTTTTCTTTTTGAGACAGGGTCTCGCTATGTAGTTCAGGCTGACCTTGAGCTCACTTTGTAGCCCAGGCTGGTGTGGAACTCACAACGATCCTCCTACCTCAGCCTATGTTCAGGCTGGCCTTGGGCTCACTTTGTAGCCCAGGCTGGTCTGGAACTCACAACGATCCACCTGCCTCAGCCTCCCGAGTGCTGGGATTACAGGCGTGCGTCTCCAGGCCGGGCTATGCTCACCTTTAAAAGCATAACTTTTGTTTGTTTCTCATTTACTACTCTCTTTAAAATAAAATTTAAATAAATAAATAAATACATAACTTTCATGTTCTCTTCATAAAGGCTTCATAAATACTGGACTCCAGTCCTAGCCGAAACGACGCCACCAATCTATCTTACCGGTGCTTCGCCACATCCGTTTTAAGCCCGCATCTCCGCTCTGACCCGGCCCACACAACCGCCCCACTTTCTCACTCGAGCGGCTGCTACCAAAGGAAGACCCGAGCGCGCCTAAACGGTGCAGGAGAGGCTCCTCCAGTAGGGGGCGCATCGCGTGTGGGCGGATCTTGGTCTCCGCCAGTCCTGCGCTACGTCGAGGGCGGGAACAATTCCAGCCCCGCCCCGTGCGTGTGCGGCGCCCTGTGATTGGAAGAAGGGACTATCACTTGGCAGCGCCGTTGGGGAGGGAGGAAGGAGAGGGCCCCGGCGAAGGTGACGCTGAGGCGGCGTAGTTGTAGGGAAGGAGGCTGTGTAGCACTCCGGGAGCGTTCCCTTTATCTTTTTGCGGTGAATGGCGGCGGGATGGAGCGCGAGGGGAGCGGCGGCAGCGGGGGGTCTGCCGGACTCCTGCAGCAGATCCTCAGCCTGAAGCTCGTGCCGCGGGTGGGCAACGGGACCCTGTGCCCCAACTCCACTTCTCTCTGCTCCTTCCCAGGTACGGCCCCGCCTCGCGCCTGCGCACTGCGCGCTCCGCCGCTGGGGGGGGGGCGGGTGGGGACCGCGCTCCTGCTGCGGGCCGGTTCCGGCTTCCGGGCCCGAGAACGCCTTTTCTGGTCACTTCTTCGCAGGTCGGCGGGGACCGGCCGCCACGAGCCTGCGACGGGGGGAGGGGGCGCGGTCGGAGAGAGCAGCCACGGGTGGACCGGGTAACTCAGGGGGCCGGGCGTCGCCCGTTGGAATGTCCCGGCCTGTCGGCTTCAGAGTGCTGTCCGGGGTCAGAACGGTGCCTGTCCTCTCCCAGGAACTGGGCTAGGATAGTCCCTGGCTGGCCGAACGGCGATCAGGGTTCATATTTCCTCTGTTTCTAGCCTGGAGCCCAACCCCTCTGCGCTGGCAGCCGCGTCTGCTTATCGCCGGCGCCCCATGCAGACCCGCCCCCTGCAGCTCGACTCTCTAGAGTTCCTTCTTTCTTTTCTTTTCTTTTTTTTTTCTGTCATTTTGAGACAGGGTCTCACTATGCAGTTCAGGCTGGCCTTGAGCTCACTTTGTAGCCCAGGCTGGTCTCGAACTCACAATGATCCTCCTGTCTCAGCCTCCCGAGTGCTGGGATTACAGGCGTGCGCTACCACACCCGGCTTAGAATGGCTTTTCAAAGTAACAAAGCAGAGCTGTTCACGCTGAAAAAGTTGAGAAGAAATGACCTCTTCTAGGAAGATTAATAAAAGCTTTTAAGCTAGGGCGCAGTTATTTGTGTGAGACCTTCACAGACCAGACGACAGAATACTAGCGATTGAACGGGGAGGTTAGGGCCCTGATACCTTGATTTAGTAAACAGAGAATTGGGCTTTGAGAGGATGCCAAGGGAAGGCACATGGGGTTGCTGACTCCCGTCTTAGGTGATTTCCCAGCTCCTGGGCAGCGACTGCCAGGCGCCGTTCAGTGGACACTTGGGATTTCCGTGCATCACCTGCCTAGGGATCTTGTAGCACAGGCTTATCAGGTAGCTGATCGAGCAACAACCTGTGTTAGGGCAAGTGAAATGTTAGCTTGTAGTCATGCCTGAAGTGACAATCTGGCAGCTCAAGTTGTTTCAAAAAGTATTAGGATCACAATCGACAGTAATAAAAATACAGTATATGGCGTTCTGGAGACCATGACTGAGAAGTGAAACATTGTTTATTTTTTCTGCCAACTCTATTTGGAAAAATTTCAAGCCTTCTAAAAGGTGGAGAGAATAGTACAGTAAATATCCATATGCTTTGATTAGGTGATAAAGGCACGAATTGTGTAACAACCTGGACTTGTTAGACGGGTTTCGTTGTGTGAACATTGTAAAGTGCACTTAATGCAAGTGGTGTAGCTTATCACACACTCAGGCTCTTCTATCTTGTGAGTTCATCATCATATGTTTGGTCTGTCATTGGTCTTAACATATGCTTTCTGTCCACACACACACACACACACACACACACACACACACACCTACCTTACATGCATTCCTGTCACATTTTAACTCTGCAGAGCCCTTTCAGAGGAAGTTGCAGAAGTCAGGGCACTTCATTCCTAGTACTTGAGCATACCTCTTCCAACACAGCTATTTCTTCTTACAGTCACAAAATCATATCAGTCTTAATGTATTTTACATTGATAGAGTAATGTTTTCTAAAGTACAGATCTTATTTACACTTTCCCCCAATTGGCCACATAGCTCCCTCCCCCCCTTTTTTAAGATTCTGGGATCTAACTAGGTTGCAGTACTGCCTGCCTGTAATCCCAGCACTGCGGAGGGGAGAAGGAGGAAGATCCTCAGCCTGGCCAATTTGGAGAGCCCTGTTCCAGTGGATAAAAAAAGTTAGGGGGTATGGCTCAGGGCAGAGGGCCCAGGCTCAGTCTCCAGTACCACTCACTAGCTAGTTTCATACATAAAGTTTATTTCAGGATCTGATCACGGATTACTGTGTAACCTTGGGCTGGGTGTGGTGGTGCACACCTGTACTCCCAGCGCTTGGGAGGCTGAGGCAGGAGGAAAACCGAGTTTGAGGCCAGCCTGGGCTACAAAGTGAGTTCAAGGCCAGCCTGAACTACATGGCAAGACCCTGTCTCAAAAACAAAAAGGTTCACACATGGCATTTAGTTTTATGTCTCTTCAGTCTCATGTAACCTAGAACAGGTTTCAATTTTTGTTTCAGTTTCTTGAGATTGAGATTTTTTTTTTTAAGAATCTAGGCCAATTGTAAAGTGTCTTACAATTTAGATTCATTAACTTTTTCCATGATTTGATTCAGAGTAAGCTTTTTTGGTGAGAATGCACCCTATTTTCCACTTGACAGTGAATCGCATCAATAGTTACATCAGTCTGAACCTTTACTGATAACGGTAGCTGTGTTCGTTTGATGAAGATAGTATCTGTTAGATGTGTCCATCGAAGGCTGCCTTCATCCTTTCATAATTAAAAGTCACGTAAGGAGATACTTTAGAACTGAATGTTCTTTTTAGTCTGTCTCATTGTTAGTTCCCTTTTAGTGCCTTTTTTTTTTTTTTTTGAGATAGGGTCTCGCTATGCAGTTCAGGCTGGCCTTGAGCTCACTTTGTAGCCCAGGCTGGTCTGGAACTCACAATGATCCTCCTGCCTCGGCCACTGGAGTGCTGGGATTACACATGTGCGCCATCATGCCCGGCATGGTTCCCTTGTAAGAAAAGATTAAGATGAGTGGATCTGAGCTGATAGTTTTAATACGTCACAGTAAAGTAGCTCTTCCTATGGGAATTGTTTTGCTTTTAGAAATTATTCTAAAATATTAAATTACAGTGTGCACTTGAGTTGACCATTACTTCTATGGGTGTGTAATTTAAGGGTGTTGGCTACCAGGGGTCACTGTTCAGCAAGTATACATTTGAATAAGGGCATAGCCCTTACCCTCAGGTCAATCAGAATGCGGTGGTGAGCACATACCCTCCTTTGTGTGTCTCATCCTTAGCTGGAATGCTAGATACAATAGGTAACTGAAGTTTGACCTGGTTTGAGCCACCAAAGCCTGCGAATAAAGGAGTTTCGTTCAGTGTCCTGAATCTGGCATCATTTCTATTTTGGGCCAACAGGAAAGGTTACTTGCAGTTTATGCCAACTCATTATCACAGAATCATTGCTCTGAAACATTCTGTGGCTTATCTGCCAGGAAGCTTTGGATTGATTTTTTTTTTTTTTTTAACTTGCATTTGCAATTTAGCAATCTAGACTTTTGCGTAACCTTCCCTATTCCAAATTTTTTTTTGTTTTTGTTTTTTTTGAGACAGGGCCTCACTCTGCAGTTCAGGCTGGCCTTGAGCTCACTTTGTAGCCCAGGCTGGTCTCAAACTCACAACAATCCTGCCTCAGCCTCCCGGGTGCAGGGATTACAGGCATGCACCACCATACCCGGCTCCCTATTCCAAATTGTTCAAATTTCTTTGTTGTTATTTTTAACAAATCTCAATACCAGGAAAGACAGGTCTTGGAATTTGGACTAACAATCATTTCTGAAGATACACATTTCACTAAGCAACGTCAAAGTGTATTTTGTGACAATTAAACTAAAGCCCAGTAATGTCTTTGTTGTGCTCTTACTAAAATTAAAAATGGATCAAGCCAGATGTGGTGGCACACAACAGTAATCCCAGCTGTTGGGGAGGCTGAGGCAGGAGGATCAAAAGTTCAAGGCCAGCCTGAACAATTTAATGAGATTCTGTCTCAAAGTTCAAAGGCCCTGAAAGAGGAGCTCGTTTTAAGAAACATCTAATGTGCCAAGTGTGGTGGCACGTATCTATAATCCCAGCACTCAGGAGGCTGAGGTGGGAGGATCGCCACAAGTTTAAGGCTAGCCTGGGCTACATAGTGAGTTCAAGAGCAGCCTAAACTACATAGTGTGACCTTATCTCAAAAATAAGATAAAAGAAACATCCCATGTGCCTAGGTGGATATGTGGGCAAGGGAGAGAGGAGGAGGTAGGGTCAGATCCTAGTGGGTAGCTTTGGACAGTTTTAATAGAGGATGATCTGGCTTTTTAGTGTACAATCCAGTGGTTATTAGTATATTTCAGAGTTGTTCAGGCATCCCTAGAGTCAGTTTGAGAATATTTTCATCACCCCAACAGGAAACTCCATACCCAGTAGCACTGACTGGCTTGGCTTTGTGTGGAGAATAGATGGAGGCCTGATCAGACCAACAGGGTGTGGCCAGACTAGGACCAAGAGGCCCATGGGGTGAGGCAGGCTGGGAGCACACTCCAAACGGGGATGGGAGGTGGGGCCAGCTGTGGTGTTAGGAGAGAGGTGGCCAACCAGTTAATAGTCCTGAGAGTAAGTCCTGGGGCTCGTGGTCCTCCTGCCTCAGCCTCCTGAGTAGTCTGGATTGCAGGCATTTGTCACCGTGCCCACTTTCAAAAGCATAGTTTTAAAGATACAAACTCTTAGAGGCCTTAGGTCTTTTCGTTTTCACTGATGTGCCTGGCATATAGAATGTGCACAATAAATGTTTGACTAATGAATGAATAAATTGGCAGCGTTTGTATTAGTCTGCTATTTTTACTATATTACCACAAATTAGCCAGGTACGGTGGTGCACACCTGTATTCCCAGCACTCTGGGAGGATGAGCAGGAGGATCTCAAGTTCACGCCCAGCTGGGCAATTTAGTGACTTAGTGAAACCCTGTCTCAAAAATAAATTTTTTTTAAAAATTAAAAAATGGGGATATATCTCAATGTGAAAGCCCTGGGTTTGATCCCCAGTAGCAAAGGAAGATTTTTTTAAAAGGCCACAAATTTAGCAGTTTAAAACAACGCAGTTTTTATTATTTCATGGTTCTGGAAGTCAGAATTGCAAATGGTCTCCCTGGGCTAAAACCAAGGTCAAGGGCTGAGTTCCTTCTGGAAACTAGGCTGTTTGCTTGCCTATCCCCACTTCTGGGGCTGCTTGCATTCCATGGCTTGTGGCCCTTCCTCTACTTCAAAGCCAGCAA